TCCAGGGATGTGCAGAAGCGCAGGCTTGTGGTGGTAATGAAGGACACTGGTCTACTAACTGGTATCTGTGCACACAGAGAGAGAGGAGTTAGGCTGTACTAACACTAGGTACAGTTGCCTCGAACCAGACCAAAGCACACTTGTCCCCCCTCCCGTCTCCCCCTATGGCCCGCACTCACACCGCAATCGGGCCTGGGCACGCTTACGTAATCGATGCTGCGCTGTTCAGTGAGAAGCGCTGTCACTCAGCCGAACAGATCCGCCACTTTTGCCGCTCATAAACAATCATAAAGCCCTCGTGCTGCAGGAATGAGGAGGTCTGCTGAAGGCACGCAGCTGTCGTGCAGTGAGGGGTTTGCGTATTTAATAAGCTACGGCAGTTTGCGTTCACTGAACAGTAAGAATGATTAATAAATCCATATGAAACATTCCCTTAAAAGTCACATCTCGCTTTTAGTTTCGGGCTTTGGCGCATTTTGGCGCATTTTGCACTCACACTACAAAGCCCAAGTGAACCGCGCTCAGGCCCACCTCTTCAAACCGGGCCAGGGCCGGCCACGTGAACCATGCTTGAGCCCGATTCAGCGCACTCACACTTCTCAAACCATCCGGGAAACGGGCCTGGGCACGGTACGGATGGGATAGTGTGAGTAGGCCCTTAGTGTCTGGGTAAGAGTCGAGTTCATCGCTTAATGAGGCATTTGTGTCTTCTCCTCAAATCCTTTCCCTCTTATGCATTAAAACCCTATATTAATAGGGTTAAAGATATACTGTGTAGAGCTGTCTTTCCCCATCAACTGAGTTTGACACGTGTTTTATGCTAATTTTTTATGTTAACAAAGACCTCTTTAACACCTAACTTTCTAGTAACTGTTCTTAGTTCATCAAGCTGAAAACGTTGCTTTACAATAAGAAAAATCTAAATTATAACAACGTGAAAACAAGTGCATCAATTGTACACATTTAAAAAACTGAAACAAATAAATTAACTTCCGACCTTGTGTCTGTTAATTTTGAAGAGGCATCTTTTGCTCTTGATGCTGGCGAGAGCCCGGCGATACACCCCTAAAGGTCAAGCACTGATTGGAGAAAATTGGGTACCCCAACAGCAGTGAGCAGACCCACAGTCTAGGGGGAAGAACTCATACCAATGGTCCACTATCCTACTAACTTGTGTGCACAGAAAAACAATTAAAGTGCCAGTGAGGCAGGTGATGATATTCACAAACCAGTATCCTGGAGTCTGAAAATCAGAGTAGTGAAGGACTTACCAGTACCTTTGTACAGTGGTGTAGCCCGTATTTTTGGGCCCTATGCACAAAATTTTTCATTGGGCCCTTCCAAAAATAAATAGAAGAACGGTGGTGGGGTTTGGTCAGTTGGTTGCGGTCGGACAAAAGTGAAGAGCAGGGGTAATATGTGGTGGGTTCGTGCAGGCCCCTCTGCTTGCTGATGCAGGGTCCCTAAATTGCCTGGCCTCTATGCACTCTGTCCCATTCTTCCCCACCCCCACTGGTGACGCCCTTGCCTCTGTTGCTGATTAGGAATTGGCCTGAGTTTAAACAGCAGCTGGCCACATCTGTGTACCCTGCTCAGCAGACTAGATCACACAGACATTGTTGGAAGGGGTTCCGCCAACTAGTACTGATGGCATCAGCAGTGAGAAAGAGGGTGAGTCTTAGAAAATTTTTTCAAAAATTATTTCAACAGATTAATGCTGGAGGCATGTTTGGGGATGACCAACGAGAAGATAAGCAATTGAGAAACTTTTGGGCAAATGTAGGAATAATTGAATGAAAATCTCACACCACACCCCCTCCCATATTTCATCATCCACAATGGTCTGCTTTACTGCATAGCTTAGCAATGGCGGCAGGAAATAAAGCTTCTGGTGGTCAAAGAAAAAGACAGCGCTAATCATGGAGTTGGCTAGGCTGGACATCTAGCTGTGGTCAACATCATCAATGGAATTTCCACTTTCACTGGCCAGTAATAGAAGAGGAAATGAAATGCTAATGTTAAAGATAAACTACAGTGAACAGCCTGACAGCAACCTCCCCTCTGTCAAAACATTACTGGTGATTGGGGTGCCCATCGAGAGGCATCAGAATGGATCTCATAGGGCCTCTGCCAAAATCTGTCCTTGGCCATTAACACATCTTGGTCATCGTGGATTATGCCATATGTTACCCTGAGGCCATTCACCATGAAAAGCTACAGTCAAAACCTCCATGAACTACCCTAAAACTGATGGTCTTGTTGAGTGTTTTAACCAAACATTGAAGAGGATACTTCAACAAGTCTTGATAGAGGATGGGTGGGACTGGGACCTGGGAAGTTCAGCAGGTTTAACCCCTTTCAAACTTCACTTCGGGCAGCAGCCTCAAGAACTACTAGACATTGCCAATAAAATTATTAATAAGATCATTCGCCTTGTCAAACAATATCTCAACAGTCTAACCAAGCCCAAAAGGGGTGGCATCACCAGCTTGCAGAGCCTAGAAAATCCAGTTGGGATATGAAGTCCTAGCCGTAGTGTCCACACCTACCTCAAAGTTCCTGGCATCCTGGCAAGGCCTATATGCAATCCTGGAGAGGCAAAGTGTCTGTAGTCCAGCCAAAATCCTAATTCATGCAGGTCTTTGTGGGGGGTGGGGTGCCGATCATGAGTAGCTGGAGGGAGAAAAACTGTGAGCAGTTGGGTAGGTGTCCTGGACACCGGTGAGTCTTCTGTTCATCCCTCAGTGATGGGATCTGCTGCTAGTCTGTGTACTGGCCGTGTGGTTCCTTTCACAGGTTTCAAAGGCTTAAACTTTTTCGTGTGTATCTTGCTTTCTGTATTTGCTTCTCTGTTTCTATTTTTGAGTACCTGACAGTGATGTTGTTTTTTTTATTATTTGTTTTGATTTGTTTATGCTTGTGAAGCACTTTGAGTTGCATGTTATGTAGGAAAAGTGCTATACAAAAAAAAAACACATTCTTACATTTTTATTTTATTATTTGAAGTTTTATAATTTTGATATCCTCTCTTCAAATTATTAATTAAAATTATATATATAATCATTTATATATATAATAATTATATATATAATCATATAAATTAGTTTAAGGTCCCCCTGAGAAATCAAAGGGATTCAACAATCTCAACCTTTCCGACTCCAGACAACCAATTATGCTAAATATTCTCACAAAATGGGGTGGCATGGTGGTTCAGTGGTTAGCACTGTCACCTTACAGCAAGAAAGGTCACTGGCTCTAGTCCCAGCTGGGCCGGTTGCATTTCTGTAAGGAGTTTGCACGTTCTCCCCATGTTGGCGTTAGTTTGCTCTGGATGCTTCAGTTTCCTCCACAGTCCAAAAACATACGCTAAAGGTTATTGAATAAACTAAAGTGGTCGTAGTTACGTGTATGAATGTGAGAGTGTACCAGTCGAGCCCCCAGAATATTTCCTCAGGGGTGGCAAGAAGAGGCCACACCAAATATTGGGTTGAAACACAAAAAAATTACGAGTTCAGTGTAATGTTATTTGTGTTTCTGGTAAATGAAATAACGTGGTTTTAATTAATTTAATGAATTACTCTTAACATACTGCAATTTTTTCCTTGAAACAATTCAGTAAGTACATGTGCAATCCAAATAAAAAATCCATTGTTGTTTCGTAAAAATTGCCATTGCTGTCCTGTAGATGAAGGTGTGTGCATACTGTTAAGGATGTTTGGGGAGGGAGAGGGGCAGCGAATCAGCTACATCGGTGGCGCCAATCAATCCACAATCATTTAAGTGGCTGCATTATATTTATTTATTTACTAAAATCTTGTGACTTTATGTAATTAAATTTGCATTAATATCAAAAGCAAAATCATATTGGGGTGGCCACAGGGGTGGCCAGAGTTAACACAGGGGTTGCCGTGGAGTGTACGGATGTTTCCCAGTACTGGCCTGCGGCTGGAAGGGCATCCGCTTCTTCTAAAACATATGCTGGATAAGTTGGCAGTTCATTCCGCTGTGGCGACCCCTGATAAATAGGGACTAAGCCAAAAAATAAATAAATAATGAATGATTCTCACAAAATGTATTTAAACCCATGAAATACCAACACATTAATACTGCCCGCACACTTGACACCATGTTAATTCTAACCTTCTTTCAAAAACACATTAAATTAATTATTTAATTAGTTCATTAATTAATCAATTCATTCATTCATTCATTCATTCATTCATTCATTCAAGGAACTGAGAAAGGATAAACAGATACTGAATCCTTCACAAACACACAAGTTAAGAAAAACCATTATAGCCTAAAAAAAAACGTCCCTCTATTTACTCTATGACCAATGAGGAATTGTTTTACATTTCCACAGTATAAAGGCAGGATTCAAACAACGCCTGGCCCACTAACATACTCACTAGCAGCAAATATTGTACAACAGAATGCTTATGATATAACATAATTTGCAGCTGAACACATTTAGAATAGCTTATGGAAAGTCATATATACTTTTTACATGTTTAAATACAAAAAAAGAAATTAATTAACTTATAAATGCTCACTCTAAATCAATGAGGCCAATAGTATAAAATTAAAAGATCATCTTCACTCATCTCATATGTTGTTTTGTTTTGATGAATATATGAAAATGCGCTGTAAACTGATAGCACAAAGAACACAGATGTATTTAAAGCAAGCTTATAGACTGCTAAAGCCAAAGCAACCAATCATCTGCACTGTGTAGCTGATGATATCGGAAGCAGATTGAATTTATCAGCCTAGATTTTGTCAGAACTTTATTTTTGTGATTCTTAAATTGTCAGAAATGAAGAAACAGTTAGTTTGAGTAATATGGGAATGTTTACAGAATATTTTTTGCATCATGGTGTCATGCTATGATCTGTCTGATTACGGGAAGTTGGCAAACAGAGGAGGAGCTGATCACAATTTAATGAAGACTCACTATAAATGAACGATGAGAAAAGACTGATGTGACAGAGTGACAAATAGACATGCTGGGACTGATCATTTTCTGCTCAATTCTCAAAGGTAAATCTTTCAGAAATATTTGGGGTCAATGCTTTCTATCTTTTAAAAGAACTGTTCAGTGGAATTAGACATAAAACATGTAGTTATTATACTAGTGTGTGTAATGTCATACGTTTTGAAAATACTGTTATGCTCACAAAAACCACGATTATGTGTCAGTCTTAATGCTGATGATGAACTAGTTTAGTTTGAAAATAGTGTAAATATAGTGTTGTTTAGACTTTATTTGAACCGAATTAGTTTATCATTCCACTGTGGAGACCCCTGATTAATATAGTGACTAAGCCGAAAAGAAAATGATTGGATGAATAAGTTCATCCTTAGCGTTAAGACTAAAATAGATGAAAGTTTTGGAGATTATAGTTAAACTTAAATTACAAGAAGGAAAAGAAAGCTGAGAAATCACTTTTCATATTACAACTGATAGTTTATATATCCGAAAGATGAATATATTTTGTATGTTGTTTAGAATTATACAAAGCACAAGATAAACCGCAACACACACCTTTGCTCTTTCAGAAACCAGTGGACAGAAAATTATCCACGTGTTCAGTAGTGATGCTGAGAATGCCACTATGCCCTGCTATGATGCTCCTGCTGACTGCACATCAACCACATGGGCATATTATAGCAAAAGAGGATCACAAGGAATTGAATTATTTAGTAATGGAAAGATACATGACAGAGACAAACATGACAGACTGAGTCTGGGCTCTGACTGCTCTCTTAACATCTATACAACCACAACTAAAGATCTTGGAGTTTATACCTGTTGGCTTGGGGTTAAAGATACACAAAAAACTTTTGGCAATGTTTATTTTCATGTTCTTCAGGGTCAGTGATTCTGTTCATTATGATTTATTCAAACTATAATAATTCTCCTTTAACATCAGGTGTGCTTTCTGTTTCAGTTTCTTCACCATCTTCACAGACACAGATTAGACCGGGAAGCTCTGTCACTCTCTCTTGTCAGTTACATTTCTACTATGAACATTCTTGTGAAACTTTGCTCACAAGTGAGGGACTTCGGCTCATCTGGGTAAATGAGTCTGGTGTAAATCTGCAAACAGACTCCAGATTTCAGATCTCATCCTCTTTGAATTATTGTAACATCAGTATGACTACAAAACTTCTCAATGAAGATGACAGCACAGAATGGAGATGTCAGATTACTAAAGGATCTGAAGTAAAGACCTCGGTCAGCTATACTGTCTCATACCTGGGTAAGAATTTAATTTATTTATTTTTTTAAGTGAGTTCACACTACTAGTGCCACACAGTGAGAAAGTGACATGATATCAGTCATTTTACTAAAAAAAGCAAGCAATTTCTGGTGACATGAACAATTGCAAAGGGTGTAAGGGTTTGTCTAGCAATGCAACAAAGTCATTCATTCATTTTCTTTTCGGCTTAGTCTCTTTATTAATCTGGGGTCGCCACAGAGAAATGAACCGCCAACATATCCAGCATATATTTTATGCAGCTGGAACCCAACCCCAGGAAACACCCATACACTCTTACATTCACACACATTCACTATGGCCAATTTAGCTTATTCAATTCACCTGTAAGTTAACACATGTTTTTGGGGCGTGGGGGATAACAGAACACCCGGAGAAAACCCAAGACAACACAGGGAGAACATGCAAACTTCACAAAGAAATGCCAACTCAGCCAGGCAGGGCTTGAACCAGCGACCGTCTTGCTGTGAGGCGATTGTGCTACCCACTGAGCCAGGCACGTGCACACATAGGGCTCAACCGGTGCAGTGCACATGCCCTTTTTAGTCTTGGATATAAAGTGCCCTTCCAAAATGATCAAAAGTGCCCCCGCGACGCGACACATCCTCCTTCCCGCCCTTCAGTAGGCGCGCGACAACACCGCTCTTGAGTACGCGCGCTCAACCCACCCCTATGCAGTACGCGCGCGACAACACAGCAGATCAGAACGCGCGTGACAAAACCGCTTTTCAGTACGCGCACGCGACAACAACAACAACCACCACCCCAATACCACTTGTAATGTTCAGTTCAATCAAGGAGATAGTTGACTAAATCTGTACTTATTCTGACTTGCTTCTTGCTTAACAAGTGCACATGACATGTTGCTATATAAGTTCACGTTTTAATTTTATTATTAAACAAAATGACTAGCAGTCAAGGGGAATATTCATACTTGTTAAAATATTTAGCAGGTAATATTACTAGAGCAAGGACATTTTTATGATTGTTTGTGTCATGTGCAGATGTCCTTCAAAAACAGCAACTAACTAAACTAATATTGTTTTTTTTACACATCCTCATAATGCTCTGAAACAGCCTCAACTCCAACACCTGTAAATACAACACAAGGTAAACCATATCACTTCATATTCTTCTTACTACTTACTGATTGACTGAGTTTATAATACCTATATTTTATAAGTATTTAATAGGTATATAAGCATTTTGCCATCTGGAGATTTTACTTGAATCAATGTTTATACTGCTACAAATGACACATCTATGCTGATTCACAGAGAAATGAAATTATTTTGCAATAATTCTGTGAGATGTGGGAAAAAGATGATTTATAAATTCATCAGTTTTCTGCTCAGTGCTTAATTCTTCTTTATTTCATCTCTCCTGTAGTGATTTTTGCTGTACTTGCTGCTGTTGCTGCTCTACTTGTCCTTATTGTTATTATTGGGTTAATCTTAAAAAATCGAGCAGGTGAGTAGTCATTAATGAACTAGGAATTTCTAGGTAAATAATATTCAAAACAGAATATGTTTTGACATATACACATATTTGCAATCAAAGTTTTGGGGTAAGTATACTGTATTAGAATGATTAACATATTTGACACTGGACTGCAAATCAGTCTTAAGTGTGAATATTTTAGTAATTGATATGTGTATCTCTGAAAGCTAATAAAAAGGGTTTCCATTTACATATACTTTGTTAGGATGGAGCTGTATTTGACTGAGATACAACTATTTGAAAATCTGGAATCTGAGATTTTAAAAAAAAGTGAATATTGAGACCTTTAAGCTGCGGTCACACTGCACTTTTCTCCCAATAGACTTCCATTCATATGTACGTAAATGCGTCAGACCGGAAATGTTATTTCGTGTGACAAGTTTTGCAGTTCGCTGTGTTGGAAACTTTGTTGGAACTCTGACCTGCGAAATCGCATCATGGGATTTCGTGAGACCAATCGAGGATCAAAACATAACCTCTCTGGACAGAAAATTTAAAACATGGATCAATCGCTAGCTTTTATCAAATGTCTAATTATGTTGTTTAATCCTGCCGCTTTTTGTAGAGCCGTACAACAGAATTTCATACACACAAAGTGTGACCTCAGCATTAAAGCTAAGTAAATTTTATTTATAAACTAGTTTCAAGAGGATCATATTCTTATGATTTTTTTCAGCTGCTCACACATCACCTCATTATTGATTCTCCAATCAGATGATTCCTAACTCACTAAATAACCAGAGTTGTTCTTATCTCAATATCTTCATCTTGAAAAATACCCCCATACCTATCCTTACTCCCCCTCCTTTTCTGATGGGTGACATGGTGGCCCAGTGATTAGCACTGTTGTCTCAAAGCAAGAATGTCTCTGGTTAAAGTCCCTACTACACCTGTTGACATTTCTGTGCGGAGTTTGTTCATTCTCCCTGTGCCCGTGTAGGTTTTCCCCGGTGTCTTCCCACAGTCCAAAAACATGCAACCTAAGTAAATTGAACATACCAAATTGACACCATAGGCAAGCTCTTAGCGAGTACACCTCTCCTCAGCCATCCTATATCTGTCATTAGCCAGAAATTAGCCTGGGGGAGTTCATCGAGCAGGAGCCCAGGGCTGGAAAATCTTATAAGCTCAGGGCTCTCTCCTGGGACAGCATGCCAAACAAGCTTTATTATCAATCATTAGCTAAGTTTAAATGCTTGAAATTAAGTGCTTAGCAATGCGCATTACTCATCAAAACTGAATTTCGATATATTTACACTAGGAAATTTACAACAACAACAACAAAAAATCCTCATGAAACATGGTCTTTGCAAAATAATTCTAATAATTTTTGGCATAAATGTAAATTCAACAATTCTGACATATAGGGCTCTGTTTTGACAATCCATGAGCAAAGTGCAAATCGCAGGGCGTGTCAGAATCCACTTTTGCGAATATAATGATTAAAAAAATCCGCTTTGCGCCGTGGCGCATGATCTAAAAGGGTTGAGCATATTTTCTTGGTGAGTTATAAGTGTATTTTGAGAATAAACCAATCAGAGTCTCATTTCCCATTCCGTTTGAAGCTGTGGTCACACTGGGCTTTTCCTTCCATAGACTTCCATTCTTAGGTACACGAACGCATCAGACCGGAAACGCAGGGTTATGCGTCAAGTTTTGCAGGCTGCTGCGGTGCAAAGTTCAAGCTTGGTGAACTCTGACCTGCGAAATCGCATCACTTGACTGCGTGAGACCAACCGAGGACCAAAACATGACCTCTCTAGACAGAAATTTAAAACATGGAGCAATCACTCGCTTTTTTTTATGCCTAATATTCTTGTTTATTTCCGTCCCTTTTCGCAGCGCCGTATTACAGAATTTCGCATACACAAACTCTAGTGTGACCGCACCTTAAGAGCCAGTTGCGTCGCACCATAAGTGCATTTACTATATACATGACATAAAGTAATTGTAAGTGAAAAAACTGTGGATAGGGGCTCTCGTGGATAGGGAAACCTTGTACGCACATATTCATTAACCTATACATAATTAATTTTGTTTGTTAAGCGCAAAGATTTGTTTCAAAACTATTTCTAAATTCAGTTATAATTTCCAGCAAACGAATAAATGAACAATAATAACGAAGTGTGGTCAAAAAACCGAGTTATTCAAATACACATATGGTCTGTAACCTGACAGGTGGGCAAATCTAAGCTGGTTTTCAATAAAACAAATATAATAAATATGCTGCATATAATAAATTATAATGAATTATACTGCTAATAATAATTATAACATTATACAAAAGCAAATTGTTATGAATAAACTGAAAAAGCCTCCCGAGATGAAAAAGCCATGAAGGCAGTATTTATTTTATTTATGTAGGCTAGAAAATAATATGTTTTGTAATATTTTAATCCTTTATATTTATATCCTATACATACCCTTATATTCTATATATCCTTAATATTTTAAGTATTTTTCAATTGTAAAGATATTTGCGTATTTCTCTACATCTTTAGTGTATTAAGCAGTGTGTAAGCGAGGCGCATAACTAACGTGCTTTGCGCTGGACTTTAGTCAACCTTTGTTTTGGTTTATTGAAAAATTGATTATAGTTTCTCAAAATAGCAACGCACCAGCAATGCGCCTCAGAACACCTTCCTTTTTAGACCAGAACGCCTATGGGGGCACATATGAGCGCAAATACATTTGCTAATTTAAACAGCGTGGCGGAAAACGACAAAATGACTCTTGCGCCAAGCTGAAACTAGCAAACAACAATTGCGTCACGCCTTGCACCACATTGAGCCAGGTGTATGATAGGGTCCATAAACTGTTTTTACCCATACATGCAATTTCCAAAAATATACCTGTATATTAAAATGATTAAAATATAAAACGCTTATTATACACTGTAATAATATTTGACAATTTCTATTTTTAATTTATTTTTAGATTTTTTTTTTATCAAGTAAATACATCATTGATAAGCATAAGTGACTTCTTTTAAAGATATTTGCATCCTCAAACCTTTGAGCAGTAGTTTAGGTAGTTCATATAGAATATTTATTGTAGAAATTTCTCTAAAATGTTTGTCTGTTGAAGAAATGTTTAAATGTAAATATTGTTTGTTTGTTTTTCAGGTAGGAAGGCAGATCATGCCGAGCTGATCAGCAATTTCACCCCAGTGACCCCAGCTGCTGCTGATATCAATGTTAGTGAACAACTCTATTTAAAAACATTTACACATGTTTGTCTGTTACACAGGGTTCTTGATTTACAACCAATCAGAAGTGAAATATTATTACAGTTACTAACTTGTTTAATGCTTAAAATCATTCAATTGAAAAATAGTTATACATTTTTATTGTAATTTTTATATTGTAATTTTTTATTTTTTTATTCATTGCAATTTTTCTTATTAAAAAAAGTGTATCAAAATTGCTTCAAAATAGCTATTAGCTGTGAATCGTGTCTATTGTGTTTTAGGGGAAGATGATGTGTGGGCAGATGACTGATGATGTGGCTTATGCTGAGGTCATCACCTCCAGTAATTTGTGTAAAGTAAGACGCAATGTAAGTGAAAAAATGTTGACCAATTTTTTCATAACATATGTCATGAATGTATAACAATGGCTATTTAATGGCCTTTCTTTTAATAATAAAGTGAAAACTGTATCTACATAACATTGACATCATATATGTCAGACATTAGACCCTACAAATGTTTATACATTATATAAATTATTAGCCCTCCTGTTATTGTTTTATTTTATTTTTTATATATATTTTCCAAGTGATGTTTAGCAGAGCAAGGAATTTTTCACATAATTTCCTATAATATATTTTAATTATTATTTTAAGTCTTTTTATTTAGCTTGGCTGGAATAAAAACAGTTTTCAGTATTAGTATGCACTGGAAACATTCAGACCTTTAAAAAGATGCATTTAACGGTCATCAGCCTCTTAAATCCTTAAAACTTTTATTATTTTGATTCGTTTAAAAGTATGTTTTTACAGTTAAATGTATTTATGTATGTATTGTCATTTTTGCATCAAATTACAAAAACCAAATTACTGATTGAGCAAGGCATTTGTAATGCAGAGTGTATGGACAGCACAATAAATTCATTGTTGTTCTTTCTTCTGGCTGCCTTATCAGTTTCACACTTTTTTTTCCTTTTTCTAAAAGTTTTGATAACAACATCGTAGACTTTTTCTTTTATTATTTCAGCAAATACGAAAGTAAAAATGTTCTCCCATTCTAAGTTTACCCAACTATGATGACTTTCGTCACTGAGAAACCTGGAAATGCTAGTCCATTATTACCCCTTTAAGATTTTTTTTCTTCGCTTGTCCAAAACAAACCACTGCTATCCAATAACTTGCCTAAGTATCCTAACTTGCCTAGGATACTAACATAATAACCTAGCTAAATTGCTCTTTAAACTGAATGCTAGTATCTTGCAAAGTAAATTGTAAATATAATCATGAAATATTAGGTACACTAATCATGGCAAAGACAAAAACAAACTATTAAAACTATTATGTTTAACAATGCATCATTAAACAACACTTGGGAAATAATTTTAAAAGAATTTAATTTGACCGGAGGGCTAAAACTATGAAGTTTTACTAAATCTGACTCATAGTGATCGTCTTTATCTCTGTTACTTACTCAGGTTCAGTCTGATGACAAAGTCACATATGTTGCCATCAGAGGTGGTAAAGTCTGACGTTAAGATGAAGAGGTCAGGCATTCACCATAGCCACCATCGTCCCCTGAACCCCACCTTTCCTGCCACGTCAAGACCCCTACAGAAGTAACTCCATTAAACCATAATTCAGCCTACAGTTTACACCCCCAAACTTACCTGACATTCAATGTCCTTTAATAGCTATTGTTCTATTATGTATGTTCATTTCTTTCTCCTGGTTTCCATGTTAATCCTGTTACTGTCCAGGTTTGGGTATGGAGGAGGCGAGGACTCAAGTGCAAAATTTAAAAGATGGATTTATTAATAAAAATAAAAAAGGGGGGAGAAACTACCCCAAGGGGGAAAACATTACCAACACACAATTGACTGGGCTGGCAGGGCAGGGAAGATCAGGAGAAGACAAGGCAGGATCATCAGGAAGAATGATGATGAACTGGCACAAAACAGCAGACATAAGAAAGCTTTAAATATGAACAAATTAAGACAAACAGGTTAGCAGAAAGGACTACTTCGCAATCACACTAGGGTTTGAGCATGTGAAATTCTGTCATAAGCAGAGATGTATAGTAACGAAGTAGAACTATTTCACTACTGTACTTAAGTACTAAAAGGCTGTATACTCTACTGGAGTATTGTTTTTTCTACTACTTCCACATTTACTTCAGTACATATTTTTGTTGAGTTTAATACTTTTACTCCGATAGATTTGTTATGTGCTGCATCGTTACTCATTACTAGTGGTGTCAAAATTATTGATTTCGGTTATATAATAGATCATAACCGGTTATTATGTACTGACGTCATTTATCTCCTATGCGCGATGTCGCAGTAGAATACTATGGCAAAGGAGACGAGGGTGAGTAAATAACGCTCTTACTACTTAAAAGATAGATAATTGTGCACAATTCAACTGCTTGTGAGTTTTCTGGATACACGGCGACAAAGCACACGAGCCGCTATTTCACTAATATGCAAAAATGCTTTAAAAATCTATGTTAACCTATCTCTCTCTCACTTTGGACATTTGACCTATACTGGTGTGTTTGGGAGGTAACTTTTCCTCTCTTCTTGGCTGTTAAAGCGATACTTGTGGATCTAGACACGAGCATGTCTGAGGTGCGAGTTTTCTCCACTGTGTCTGTTCTAAATTACCTGTGATAATCGCGTATTTTGTGCAGACAGACAGAAACCGCGGCTGTTTTTCTTACCATCGATGAACAGCGTTTTCATTTCTAAAGCCAATCGCAGCCCTTTTTGTTGAGCAAAGACAATAACCAATCATAGGGGTGTAAGACCTTGCCTGTCAGCGCTCAAAAGGCAAGCGGAAGAACATTAGTTTATTTGCTCTAAATGCTCATGCTGTCTTCTGTGCATGTGTTGGAGTTTTGTTTGATACATTCAGAAAGAGTGTTAAACCTTGAGCAGGTCAAATTAAAGGTATATATCTTACTGCTGTATTAAAGAACAAAATTGTATTAAAAATAATATATAACTATAAATATATTCATAGATTTTAATTTAAAAAACATTTGTGTTGTGAAGAAAAAATCTAATTATGTATGGAAAGCATCGTCAATGCACCGAGATGTCAAATTGAACCAAATCTATGACATGATAATTGTAACCGAACCAAACCATGAGACCAGTGTAGATTCACACCCCTACTCATTACAATTATAGACCTTTTTCTTGGCTGCTGCATGGAAGGCGCCATAGTGACCTCCGGTAGAATGTTTAGAACTTCTGTTTACAGCATTTAAAACCGGTTATTTGCAATCCAAAAATGGGTTTCAATAGCGTTTTAAGTGAATTTAAGGAATGTTTTTGTAACACAACTTTGAAAGGTATGTGTTAAAGCTGTTATAATTTGTCAGATCTGTGGTTCAAGCGCGGGAGAAAAACGTTATCCTAGTTCATATAAACTGTAAGCCATGTTTCTTTTCGTTCTGCTTAATCACTTGCCCCAAAAAAAGATATTTAAAATAAACAGAACAATATGATGTCTTTTGACTGCTTTCTTTAATAACTACATTACACAATATTTGTACTTTTAGTCTCAGTACTTGAGTAGTACATTTTGAAATAAACTACTTGCAATACTTAAGTACAAAAAATATTGAATTCTTTAGTACTTCCACTTAAGTATGGTGCTTCAACTTCTACTCAAGTCACTTTTTTGATAGAGCACTTGTACTTTTACTTAAGTCTGGGTCTCTAGTACTTTATACATCTCTAGTCATAAGTTATAAAGTGAAACAATGAAATTAAACAAGATGATTAGATATTTTAAAAAGCTAGCAATACAGTGCATCCGGAAAGTATTGATAGCGCTTCACTTTTTGCACATTTTTTTATGTTACAGCCTCATTCCAAAATGGATTAAATTTATTTATTTTCTCAAAATTCTACACACAATACCCCATAATGACAATGTGGAAAATGATTTTTTTTTTTATTGTTGCAAATTTATTGAAAATAAAAAACCTAAAAAAAAAAATCACATGTACATCAGTTTTCATAGCCTTTGCTCAATATTTTGTCAGAAATGAAGAACCAGTTATTTTGGGTAATAGTGGAATATTTCTTGCATAATAGGGTCATACTATGATCTGTCTTATTAAGGGAAGTTGGCAGAGAAGGGGCTGGTGACATTTTAAAGAAGACACTATAGAAATGCTAAAAAAAAAAACAGACATAGAGACAGATGAATGACAAGGCATATGGACATGCTGGGACTGATCATTTTCTGCTCAATTCTCAAAGGTAAATCTGTCAGTAATATTTGGGGTCAGGGTTTTCTGTATCCTTTGAAAAAACTGCTTTTATATTTATATTTTATTTGTATATTGTATACATGTGTTATATACATTCTACTTTTAAATACTGTTATGCTTAAAAAAGCCAGGATTTTGTGTTAGCCCTAACACTGCTGATGAACTTACTTAGTTTTAATAAAATGAAAATATAGTGTTATATGCATTTTATTTGAACTGAACTAGTTCATCATTAGTTTCATCTACAGTGAATGCAGAAAGTATTCATATCGCTTGACATTTTTCAAATTTTTTATGTTACAGCTTTATTCCAAAATGGATTAAATTCATTTATTTACTCAAAATTCTACACACAATACCCCATAATGACAATGTAAAAAAAATAAAAATTGTTTTTGAAATTGTTGCAAATTTATTAAAAATAAAAAACCTGAAAAGTCACATGTACATAAGTATTCACAGCCTTTGCTCAATACTTTGTTGATGCACCTTTGGCAGCAATTATAACCTTAAAGGGCCATGAAACCCCCTTGTTTCAGCAGGGTGTTTTCACACCTCTACTTTGGAAAAAGTCAGAAAAGTGGGCGTGTCCAGCTCTGTTTAGGGGGGAGTGTCGAAGGAAGAAAAGTGGGATGGTGTGGGAGTGTCTATTTGGGCGCGCACGAGTTTCAGAATCAAAATACACACACACACACACACACACACACACACACACACACACACACACACACACACACACACACAGTAGAAAGTGATGGTGTTTAACCTACAAAGACATCTGTAGTCGAATTATTTGCCAAATTATTAAATGGTGGACTTTAACTGCAGTTTGGCTCTTTCATTCAGGGAATTCATTCATGCCGCTCGCGACAAACGCGATATTTGATTTGAGGAACTGCTCTAAGCGTGTATTTTTCATGCAATGTTTGATACCGCACGGCGAATGAGAGAAAAAAAACCTCCGCATTTCCCGGAAACTTAGATGCACACGGCAGGTAGCGTCAGAAAGCCTACACGAGGTTAAAGTTTGGTTGTGGTGCTAACATGTTTATACTCGGTGCAATGGTTAACTTAGTTCGATACAAACAAACTGAATAAACAAAGAGCGCTTTTCACTCACTTACCAAATCTGTAGAGACAGGACAATCACCAGCAACTAGAGCCGCGTCTTTATGAAGAGGAGACTACAAGCGAATCCGATCTCAGCGTTTGCATATGAGAACAGCTTTCAGGTAAACAATGTTCCTCCTTAGACACGTAAGTTATTGTTGTCGAGCGTCGCGTACACTGTTAATCCACACGTGAGTCCAGATGAGCTCTCACAGAGAGAAAATGAAAACGAAACTTAACTGCAGCAAACTATAAAAGCAACACTTCACGATTGTTTTGCCAATACAACGTGGTGTCTCTTTCGTCTAAACACTGTGACAGTAATGAATATTAATGAAGTTGCACAATAGAGTGCGCTGATTGGTTTGAACCAAGTCTTACTCATGCATTAATGCAACACACTGTAAGACGTAATAAGACACACTCTGGCACAGACGCCCAGTCTGCACGCTGGAATACAACACTATTATGTCATGACCGTGACGCAGCTTCAAAAATTCGTTTCAAACCGGAAGTACGAATTTGCTTGAAATAACGCAAAAACAACCAATTTACACTTTTTAGTGAAATATAGATGTCCTAATAGTGTTTTTAGCTGTGTGGGACACATATACGACTGTCAACAGCTCAAAACATGTGTTTTGGTGTTTCGTGACCCTTTAAGTCTTTTTGAATATGATGCCACAAGCTTGGCACACCTGTCTTTGGGAATTTTTGCCCATTCCTCTTTGCAATAGCTCTCAAGTTCTATCATGTAGGATGGAAAGCGACGGTGTACAGCCATTTTCAGAGATGTTTAATAGGATGTAGGTCTGGGCTCTGGCTGGGCCACTCAAGAACATTCACAGAGTTGTTGTGAAATCACTTTATTGATATTTTTGGTTTAATTGGTGGATTGCTGCACAGATGGTTGTCCTTCTGTAAGGTTCTCCTCTCTACAGAAGAATGCTGGAGCTCAGAGTGACCGTCTGGCAGAGGTGGATAGTAACGAGTTACATTTACTTGAGTAAATTATTGGGTAATGAGTACTTTTTGAGTACATTTGAATATGTGTACTTTTACTCTTACTCAAGTAAATTACCGGAGAAAAAAATCATTACTCTTACTTCGCAACATTTGACGGCGTTATTACCAGAATATTATTAAAGAGGTTGTGTCGCGAGAGGTTGCTATAGAAATAAATCTCCCGCTTTCGATTAGAGCGTGCACGTGTCTATAATAATGGCTGAATAATGGCTGAAGTCTAGAAAGACGTGAGAGTTTATACTGTGGTCCCACTCGCTCGCCATCTGCGGTTCCGAGAAGGACAGTTACATAATCTGTGCAGTGAGTTTATCGGATCACGTCACCCGGCCTCAAGTTCAGTCTATGTTTTTACTCCAAGATGTTAACAAGAATAGTTTCATAATGCGATGCACGCATCGAACTGACATCGCAACATATACATGAGTTACATCACAGACCTGAAAAAACACGTAGTGTTAGGTGGCAAAATTTTCCATATTTTTAGACCTTATTAATGGTAACTATGGGATAAGTACAGAAACTGCTGTTTAATGAAATAACCAATTAGCCCTGCTGTCACAATCACCAGCGATCGTAACTCTTTAGATCGCTGTATCTCACACACAATAACCATGGACTACAAATCCACCATTTCTGAACTACATTTTCATACATGCACTCCGTTTCACACTCACACATGCCTCCTCATTTAGACTGATTACACTCACACCCCCTGAGGATTGTCAACAACTGATTACACACACTATTTAAGCAACACACTCACTCATTCACATTGTCGAGTCTTGTTTTCTGTTATAGTGACAATTCAACGCGTTTTCTAGTCTTGTTTACCCATGTATTTATCTTGCCTTGTTTATCCGGATATCCCTGTCTTCCACCTGCCTTCCGACCTCTCGCTTGTTATATTGACCACGATTCTGGACTGCCTTTATACCTCTGTTTGCACCTGTGTTGACCATTGCTTGCCTGACTCCGAATAAACCTGCAAGTGGATCCAAACTACAGTTGTCTGTGTCACTCCCCGTGTTACACCTCCACACATTTAGCTATTAAAAATATAACATTTAAACATTATTTTTTAACGTATAATTGTTTTAAAAGAAAGATTTTACCAACACATTTCTATAGTTTTAATATCTCATTTCTATTAACTGATGATCTTTGCCATGATGACAGTACATAATATTTGACTAGATATTTTTCAAGATACTAGATATTTCGTCACCTTAGAATTATAAGGTTCTATCTGACATGTTTGTCAAAATTGAGTTATTGACATTCTTATTAAATGACAACTCATTTACATTATGGGATGTTTTTTTATAAGTTGTTTACATTTTAATAACTTTATTCAAAAAAATCAAATGTTACACACATACTGTTTGCTATGTGGATTGCAAAAACTTTAAAGCTAAAAAAAATCTCAAAATCATTCAGAACACAGTTAAAACCTTATAATTCTGAGGTGACGATTTTTCAAGTGACATTTAAAGGCTTAACAAGGTTAATTCGACGAGCTATAGAGTAATTGATGGTTTGTTCTGTAGACAATCAAAAGAAACATTTCTTGAGGACCTAATAATTTTGAGCTTAAAATGGTAAAAAAAAAAAAAAAACATTAAAAAATGTTTTTATTTCAGCTGATATAAAACAAGTAAGATCTTCTCCAGAAAAAAGATACTATATATGAAAGTGTGAAAGTGTGTGTGTGTGTGTGTGTGTGTGTATGTGTATATGTATATATGTATATATATATATATATATATATATATTAGGGATGTGCGGAGCAGCCGGTATTTGTATTTGTATTTGTTGAGGGGGGAAAAGTATTTGTATTTGTATTTGTATTTGTATTCGAGTAAAATTCAAAATGGCGCAAAAATATATATTTTTTCTATTACACTTCTAATTTACGTTATAGTGAAAGTATTGTTTAATTATACCCATTATATAAATTATAGATATGCAATATTGGCTGTTGTTTTTGAACATGTGATAAGAAATATCATTGAAAAGAAAATAACACAGAAGCCATTATCTCATCCATGGTTAAACCAACAACTAATAAAATACCATTGTGAATATTATGAACCCCACCACCACCGTTCTTGTTGAAGGACACTGAATAGACAGAATAAAAACAAATAATACTTCAAAAAACTGTTCTTCTTCTGAAAGAACTTTTTTCCAATGGACAGAATTCCAAAAACTAATATTAACTAAATAAATCTAAATAAAACCCTGCCCGGGAGATCTGGCAGAACAAAAGTATTCTATATAATACTAAAAGATACAGCCCTGCTATTATCATCTGCCAGCCACAAAAAAAAGACACAAAGTTTGTTTGTTTGTTTTTTTATGTTTGAAACTGACTTGCTGGGGCAGAATGTGGCTGTGTTGATGCTTTTAGGATGCTTTTAGTGCATGTGATAATACATTACATAGAAGGTTGCGCGGTGCTCTGTTCAGTGAGAAGCGCTCTCTATGGCAAGCCTTTTTAGCATTTAAATCTTTGTTCTGACTCCATAAATATATTAGAGATATCTCTAATTATATTTTGACTAGTCATAATTATAATTCCACTACTCAGAATGACAATTAGACATATCTGCAATTACAATTGTACTAGTACGTAATCAGATGAATTTTGACTAGTAACAATTGTAATTGATATCTCTGAGTTTTTACTAGTCATAATACATTTGGAGATATCTTTAATTCATCATATTTAGAGATATTTACAAATATATTTGAAGATATCTCTAATTAATTTACTAAAAGTCTAATTACAGTTGTAGATATCTTGAATTGGATTTTTGACTAGTCAAAATTCATTTGGAGATATAGTCAAAACTTATTTAGAGATATCTGCAAATATTTTTCAGTGGAAGTCAATGGAGGAATATGACTAGTCAATCATAATATATTTGCAGATATTTCCAATCTGACTAGTCGAATTATAATTATGACAAGTCAAAATATAATTAAAGATATCTCTAAATATATTTATGGATAGTCTGAACAAGGTTTAAATGCTAAAACGGCTTGCCATGCGCTCTCACCCAGTAGCACAGTGGAGAGTTCTCTAGTTATATCCTTTCAGTCGTTTGTTATGCAGTGACATGCAGTCAAATATTTCGCCAAACAGTCCTTAGGGATGCGGTGACACGCAGTCAGATATTTTACCGGACAGATCCGCCACTTTTGGCGCGCATAAACAATCATAAAGCCCTCGTGCTGCAGGAATGAGGAGGTCTGCTAAAGGCGCGCAGCTGACGTGCAGTGAGGGGTTTGCGTCTTTAATAAACTACGGCAGTTTGCGATCACTGAACAGTAAGAATGATTAATAAATCCATATGAAACAACCCCTTAAAAGTCACGTCTCGCTTTCAGTTTCGGGCTTTGGCGCGTTTTGCCTCTCTCTCTCTCTCTCTCTCTCACTCACTCACTCACGCGGGCATGCACTGTGGTCTCATGAGGAAACGCTGCTTTTTGATATAGTGTTTTTCTTGCTCCCGAATACAAATAATTTTTCAAGTATTTGTTCGAATCAAGTATTCGTAAAAACACGCTATTCGTGTCTTTCCGAATACCGTATTCGGGTTCACCCTTAATATATATATATATATATATATATATATATATATATATATATATATATATATATATACATACACACATACACATATAGTGTATATATATATATATATATATATATATATATATATATATATATATATATATATATATATATATATATATATATATATATATATATCCTTTGTCTTCATGCTTGGTTTGTGCTTTGACATGCACTGTCAACCCTGGAGCCCTATATAGACAGGTGTATGCCTTTTTAAACAAGATTATTAGACATTAAAAAAGCGAGCGATTGCTCCATATTTTACATTTTTGTCCAGAGAGGTCATGTTTTGATTCTCAATTGGTCTCACGCAGTTAAGTGGTGCGATTTTGCAGGTCAGAGTTCACCAAAGCTTGAACTTTCCAACACAGCTTGCGTTTCAGGTCTGACGCATCCGCATGTTTATGAATGGAAGTCTATGGGGAGAAAAGTGCAGTGTGACCGCAGATTAATCAGTGGAAACAGAATGTATCTGAGCTCAATTTAGAGCTTCACGGCAATTTATAACATTTAAAATAATCACACATTTATTCACAGTATTATTATGGAGTATTGTGTGTAGAATTTTGAGTAAATTACTTAATTTAATCAATTTTGGCTGTAACAAAAAAAAAATGTGGAAAAAGTGAAGCACTATAAATTCTTTCCGAATACACTGCATTTTAGATAGATAAAAGATATAGAGATTATAGTTAAACTAAAATTACAAGACAGAAAATAATTATTTTTTATAATATAACTGATTTGAACAGTTTTTATACGAAAAGTCAAGTGTATTTTGTATGTTGGTCAGAATTTCCTATAAAGCACAATATAAAAAACACACAAACACTTGTTGTTTCAGAAGCCAGTGGACAGAAAATTATCCACGTGTTCAGTAGTGATGCTGAGAATGCCACTCTGCCCTGTTATAATGCTTCTGCTGACTGCACATCAACCACATGGGCATATTATAGCAAAAGAGGATCACCAGGAATTGAATTATTTAGTAATGGAAAGATACATGACAGACTGAGTCTGGGCTCTGACTGCTCTCTGAACATCTATAAAACCACAACTAAAGATCTTGGAGTTTATACCTGTTGGCTTGGGGTTAAAGATACACAAAAAACTTTTGGCAATGTTTATCTTCATGTGCTTCAGGGTCAGTGATTCTGTTCATTGTGGTTGATTCATATTATAATAATTCTCCTTTAACATCAGGTGTGCTTTCTGTTTCAGTTTCTCCCTCATCTTCACAGACACAGATTAAACCAGGACGTTCTGTCACTCTCTTCTGTCAGTTATATTTCTGTTATGAACATTCTTGTGAAACTTTGCTCAGTAGTGAGGGACTTCAGCTCATCTGGGTAAATGAGTCTGGAGTAAATCTCCAAACAGACTCCAGATTTCAGATCTTATCCTCTGTAGATCACTGTAGCATCAGTCTGACTAAAACACTCCTCGATGAAGATGACAACACAGAATGGAGATGCCAGATTACTAAAGGATCTGAAGTAAAGACCTCGGTCAGCTATACTGTCTCATACCTGGGTAAGAAAATGAAAATACTTGTGTCTAACTTATTTAGCTCAACAATAATAACAAGCCAGAACTAATCCCATCTAACCAATACTGTAGTGTTTACTTGGGGTATTGGTATATTTTACATAAATTCCTATTAATACAATATGTCTTATAACACTTTCTTCTCTTTGTTCATCCAGGAGGTATTGAGATTGTTGGAAGGGGATTGTTAGTCAGAGGTATTTAGGATGACTTTATCATATTTACTGATATTTGTAGACAGCACTGCATTTGTACACAGCACCGTATAACCAGTATATTTATAACGAACATATAACTCAACATTCAGATCTTTTTACTAGTTGCATCTCTGTTTAATGTTTATCATCTTTTTTCCTTCATATTTTTTGTGTTGTCACTTTATGTACACTGGAAGCTTCTGTAGCCAAAACAAATTCCTTGTGTGTGTAAAGCACACTTGGCAATAAAACTGATTCTGATAGCAGCTTGTTTCATTTAGATAATGTATAGTTTCAATGACTGAGTTCTCTTCTTGCTGTAGGGATTATAATTATCATTGAGATGGCAGCACTAAGTTTTCCTACTGCTATTCTTCTATGGATCTGTAAAACGAGAGCTGGTGAGTTTTAAGACTTTTTTCACAATCTCTTGGCTCACAGCAAGCCATACATATGATCACATGCTGTATACAGTATAAAAAGTAAAGAAGTATTCTTAATACATGATACAGTGTGAAAGGTTTAATATAATGATATGCTTTATTCACAGAAAAAAGAAGACATCCAGAAAGCGTTGAGATTTAAATCATTTTCAATATATCACTTGGTTTTAAGAGTTTATTTTTCTTAATCATGCATTTACTCTTATTGACACATTTGCTGAATGTACCTCTGTTCCTCTCAACCTGTACCTTAAGACTGTATATATGGAGCTAGTAAATGTATTAAAAGTTCCTGATGGTGTACGAGATACAAGGTTTAGATTCTTTGCTGAAGTAAGGTTTTTTCTTTTTTTTTTTTCTGAGATAGTTTTAAAGTTGTTTTCTTGGTCTTCCATTGGTTTAATAAGTGTTTGATCTTGTTGATTGGGTTGACATTTCATCATGTTCTCTGTGTTTATTTAGTTTCTTTATTGGCTGACATTATGTTGGTGTTGGTTTGCAGTTGGTTGCTGGTATGGGTGGGATTCCTTTTCAGTCCTGGAGTTTTAAGCCTTAGACCGGCCCACAAAAAAAAAATCTTGCAAAAATCTTTATTGATATTCATTCCTTTGCAACACAAAAATAATACAAAATAAAATATGTACACCTATATAAGTAACCCAAACAGTATTATATGTCTTAACACTAAAAATGAAAAAAACAAAATAAAAATTACTCATGGGAGGTTCAAACTCAATTTTGCAGCGTCGCAACTCGCCGACCACTATACCACACTGTTGCACTTTTATCTGCCAGACTCTTTTAACCACATTACTTTCTATTGACGGCTTTTTCGCCCGTTTTTAGAATTCTGATCAAGTTATGTCAAATTTATTACTGTAGTGAATCATCTGATTTTCATTGAGCAGGTGTAATATTCATTATATTAATTATTCGAATTCTTATATTCACTAAGGTGCTGCTGTTTGGGGTCAAATGACAGTTACGTTATCAATAACCTGCAGGCTGTATTTTGCTCATGGGGCTCAGGGAAAATAAATAAAAAGAGCAGAGCTGTGGCAAAATAATGAATAAAAAGAGTCAGGCTCTGGTCAAATAAATAAATAAATCAATGAAAAAAGTGCGACTGCTAAGAGTGCAAGCCAAAAAATGGACAGGCCCATCGGGAATTGGCTTCTGATAAGCCAATCCGGGCCTGGTTACTGCTATGCAGTGGTGTAAAGTAACTAATTACAAAGATTTAAATTACATTAATTGAGTAGTTTTTCTCAGGAATTGTAATTTACAAAGTAGTTTTAAAAATGTGTACTTTTACTTTCCCTTGAGTACATTTTTTAGAGCTGTATCTGTACTTTTACTCCACTAATTTCCTTCAACCTGCAGTCACTATATTTTTTCTTGTCTGTGCTATGTTTTGCACTATAAAATAACTGTTCAAAAGTAGTTTATTATTTAATTGACAGTTATTGTATCTGGCCTTATACAGTAGCTCTAATGTCTAGCTGTAAACGATTTTACTGTATATTCCTACATGACACGTTTGATATGTTATTTTTTTTCAGAAAACAGAAATAGGACAGGGGAAGTATTAACATAAGCATATATGGTCAAAACCACATCAAATCTTTTTTTGTTAAATAATTATTCCATTGTATTAATTTTCACTTTTATTGTTTTTATTTTCAAAAATTTATTCTGTATCACACTTTGGAAACGTCCACAATCATCGATGGTCCTGGCAACAACATCTGTCCCATTCATTAGACTGTTTAGTTAAGAGAAGAGGAAAAAAAAAGAAGGGCAAGGATGATGATGACATGATTGCTCATCTCTTGAAAGATGATACGGGAGAACAAATAGAGGATGCAGTCCTCCCACATAATCTTTTTCTAGACCTGGTAGTGCAATGGAAGTTCCCTATTTTTATAAAAGAGACTGGCTGCAAATTTTCTCATGGCCTTATAGATGCTGTCACAGTCACTTATCAAGCAGAATCCAGCATGAATCTCAGAATGAAATGAAATCACAGTTTATTATATCAGTTTATAAGACTCACACCTAGAAAGAAAGGATGGCAACACATCCAAATCTTATTTGAAAATAAAAAAGTAAAGGGATTTCATTTAAATTTAACAGACCTTACTGTAACTGAAACTGATTTGTTTTTCATTAGTTAATGGTCAAATTATTTTATTACATATTATGTATGGTTGTCCGCTGTTCCTCAAATATGCAAATATGCAGTTAATTAGTGTGGCTCGGTGGTTACAGCAAGAAGGTTGCTAATTTTAGTACCTGCTGGGCCTGTTGGCATGTCTGTGTGGAGTTCTCCCTGTGTTTACGTGGGTTTCCCCACGTAACTAAATTGGCTGTAATGTGTAAATGGGAGAGTGTTTGCTTGTTTTCCAGTACTTGGGGTTGTTTTTGCAATGAGCATAAAAAAAGCTTTCTGCAGTGATGCCTTAGAATACCTAATTTTCCTAAAAGAACCATTTTGTTTCTCTTAACCTAAAGAAATTTAATAAATGTATTAACCTTTGAGGTTTATATAAATATAAAATTTGTTCAAGTACTATTTGACTAATTTTGTCTATTTAAAATTTGATTCAAAACATTGCATGTTTATGAAAAAAACGACAATAGACACACTTCAATTTTTCATTATTTTATTTATAAACATACAGTATACTGTAAAGCTGTTGCATTTGAACATCAAATTAATCTATTTTTGGATAGTGTAGATTTGAGATTTGAATAACACAATAAATATACCTTAGATTTAATATATATTTTCCAAGGTAACTATTTCCCTCCTAAACAACATATATCTTGCCTGGCTAAAGCCTCGGCCCTGTGTCAAACCTAAAGTTATGACGAATTAAACATAAAATACATGACTGGACCCGGAGCGCAGAACTGCTGGCTAAATAAATCAATAATGACAGAAGATGAAATAGCAAACAAAACAGTCAAACTGTTTTTCGTGATCAAGAAGTCTTCTGTTCAGGTACATAAGATGAATGTTCTAACAGTGGTAGCCCTAAATCAAGAGTTACATTTAGCCAGTGAGTGTGTTACGATGAACGGTTTACATTTGTATTGCTTTGTCATGTTAAAATTCAATCATTTTCAGAATGAAACTAAAGCAATATATTTTTAAACACATTTTCCAAAAATGAAAGCAAAACAAATGTTATATTTGAGAGGGGAAATGTATGTTCAGTGGAGTTTGGCATATAAATAAAAAAATGTCCTGTGAAAATGGCCAAACTAACAAGTTTCAGCCAACAACTATTTTACAATATTGGCAGAAAAGTGGCAATTTCATTCGTAGTAATGATTTTTAAAGGAGGCTTGTCCCCAAATCCCACTACTAAACTCAACCATCATTGGGGGATGAGCAAATTTTACTAAAATATACGAATGTGATCATACAAATTAATACGTGTCAGCAACAAAATCTAAAAGTTACAAATTTCTGTGAGATTGTGTTGGAAATTTCGAGGTAAACACTCCATTATTTTTAAAGAGCAAGGTGCAGCTTGATCCATAAGATCATACATGACCAAAAATAAAAGCCTAATTTTTCTATGAGTGTAGAAACAGTCTTTGGATCCAAACGCTTCCTCTTTTTAAGTTTTTCATTCAGACGTTGCGTCTCTCTTAAGGCACAATGCTTCAGTGCAACAACTTCCCAAACCATCAATGGACTGAAGGACAGTGATTTGCATGAAAATAAGCAGCTGTATGAATATGTCTGTTTTCTTGAAGCTCTCTTTTTACATGCATCTGTATTTATATCAGCTCAAATGTATAAAAATACATACTTTGCTCCAGAAATACAATGATCAGGGGGATACAGTGACTGTGTTCCCTTAATTACAGATTACTTTTTTAAATCTTGAGGCACTATGAATGCTAACAACTTTTCAAAATAAGGACAAACTCTCCATTATCCTAAGAGTTTGGACATTTTAAGTTCAGATGTTTAAAAGGAAAACTCAGCTTTTCTTTTTTTTTTTTTTGAAAATAAGATTTTAATTTAAGTTCCTGCGGGTAAAATAGTTTCGCTTTACCATTTTTTTATCTATTCAGCTGATCTCTGGGTCTGACAGGATCAATTTTAGCTTAGCTTAGCATAGACTATTGAATCTGATTTAGCATTAGCTCACTCAAAAATGACACTGCAATGGCATTGCACCTACTGCAGCCATGGTATTAGATAGATTAGATACATAATATAGCCAAAGTTCTTTGATTAATAAAACTAAATGAGAGTTCCTAGCCATATTAAGCTAGAAAACAGCAAGTCTTTCTTATTAGTCACGATGTAGCTAGAAGAGTCAAGCTTTAAATAGAAGAGTCAAGCTTTAAATAAAAATAAAAAAAAATTATTGAAACTATTTTTTTCTTTTTTTAATGGAGATGCTAATGGTCTAATATGATTCAGTGATCTATGCTAAGCTAAGCTAAAAGTGCTCCTGCCAGACCCAGAGATCACCTAATTAGTAAAACTCAACAGTGGAACTGTAGGGCACTTGTTTTCTAAAAACGTGATGTTACTTTTAATCTATTCAAAGAATACTGAGAAATAATTAGCCATCAACTACAGTGCTCAGCTACAGCATTTGAGGAGCAAAATGAAGAGAAATACTCTGATTTTTAAACAAAATATGAATGGATTTTAAATTCAAATTTGAATGCAGCTCCTCTTTAGTGTCATCTATAAATGGCTGAAATCTGTAGACAGTACAAAAACTAGTTTTCAGCTGACAAACGGTTCTATTAGTCAGCTATACTGCCAGAAAACTTTTTTTTTTTTTTTTACTATAGTCGCATGCTTTCCTTTGTGATGGAAAAGAAAACCTGACTTGAAGACATTGCAGTGGTTTGATTTGAAATGTGCTTGTATTAACATATGCAAACTTCATGAGTTTTATGGGTGGATTTCTTGCTCTCAGAATTGGTGTTTTCACAATGTAGTGGGTTGACCAGCAGCTGAAAGACAAAAGAAGTTACAAGAAAATAATACATAAGTAATCCTCTGAACAATGAATTCAATACTAAGTGACCCTGGACCTCAAAATTTGTCTTATGTTGCATGAATATGCCAAAAATACATAGGATTGGTCAAAATTATTGATTTCTCTTTTAAACCAAAAAACCATATGATATTAAAATGAAAGGTAATCTTCCATAAAGATATTTTTCCTATTGTAAATGTATAAAAACTAAATTTTTAGTAGTTATGTGCATTGGTTAATTTGGACAACAATTAAAGTTATTTTCTCAAAATGTTGATTATAATTATGCTTGAGATTCTTGATTTTCAAATAGGAGAAAATATCATCCTATTCCTACAAACCATACGTAAATAAAAAGCTTATTTATTTAGCTTTCAGGTGATGTATACATCTCAATTAAAAAAAAAACAAACAAACTGACTCTTATGAATGGCTTTGTGGTTCACAATCACATATTATCATGCAGTTCTGCTAATATATTTGAGACTACCCAGGCTCATTGGAAAAACTATACCAATATATTTTATATAGAGTAAAATTAAAAGCATAGTTCACCCAAAATTGTATCTGTCCTTATTTACTAATCCTTCACTTGTCACTGTTTGACTTTCTTTCTTTTGTTGAACATAGATGAATGTTACAGTACTGAAGAATGTTAAGCAGAAAAAAAACAGCCACTGACTTTCATAGTATTTTTGTTCCTACATTTCCCCCAGCATTCTTCAGAACTTCTTCTCTTGTGTTCAACAGATGAAAACAAATCATTGAAGTTTAGAACTATTTGACTGTGAGTAAATAATAAGAAAATTTTCATTTTTGGGTGAACTTTCACTTTAATAATAAAGTATTAACCTTTTAGTGCTGTTTGATTTTCTTTTGATGAAACAACATAAAACATTTTTTTAATAAAAGTTGATTTGTTTATGTGAAAAATGTACATTCCTTTTAGTGTCACTTTGATGTCAAGATGCCATGACTTTCACACTGCAGCACATTTAAGTGAATGTGTGTGTTTGACTCACAGCGGGAGCGGATGTAGCACTGATGGCAGTTGAGCAGACCATTTCTGATCCTCACATCTGTTCCTGTGCTGGTGTCACCCAACTGACCCTTACAGATTCCACACTTACACAGAGAGAGAGAGAGAGACAGAGTTTGACAATATGTAGTATGAAAAAAAAAAACATTATGCAAACATTTGTTATCACTAAGTCAGTGTGTTCAATCCTGAAATGTGCTACTTTTATCTTTCAAAAGTGGAGGATGGAAAATCATCAGTTTCATTATTATTATTATTTAGATATTATATATTATTTAGATATTTACATTTTTATAATGCCCCAAAGCATTTCTGTTTATAAAATGCTGATCTTTCATTTAAAAATCCTAAAAAAAGATGGTCAAAAGTCGTCACAGCTCGAGCATTATATTTAAAAATCTATTTAGATAGAAAACCTTTATTATAACAGTTTGTACACTATCATTGTTCAAATAAATACAGAAACATTATAAAAACTTTTCTAACCCCATTTTTGAACAGTAGTGTTTGTGTTTGTTCTATTGATACATCAGTAAATGCTGCATTTATGACATAAAATAATACTATATAACTCAAACTTGACTATTTAAGACTGGTCTTCTTTTAACGTTCTTACATATATCTTGACAGTCCACACACACACACACACACACACACACACACACACACACACACACACACACACGCACACACACACACACACACACACACACACACACACACACACACATACACACACACACACAAACACACACACAAACACACACACAAACACACACACACACACACACACACACACACACACACACACACACACACACACACACACACACACACACACACACACACACACACACACACGTTTCAGCAATTTTCCTGTGTCAATATAGCAATGTGATCATTTGCAATAGTCACATCGTGGGTATATGTGAGTCTGGATTAAAATTAATTATTTCGCAAGCATTTTTGAGACCTGTAACCATGTGAGGGTTTTAAAAGCATTCAGGCCTAAGATATTGTGCTGTTTGTAACTTTGACAAATTAATAATGATTGAATTGCTTTTAAAATGAAGACTATGCATTATTATTTTACATTTGATTATTTAATTTCTGTATACCAATATACAGTTTGACTTCAACTGTCAAACAATCAAACTTCAAACAATCAAACACAGTTTTTTTTTATTTTATTAACTTTTTTCTTTATTGATTTTATCAACACTTGTAAATTGTTTCTTGTATTTTATGTACTCCCCTAAAAATTCATCCCAATCAACTCTTAAAAATTTCTACCAGATAGTTATTCAACTCATCTAGTAAAGTTGTATTCATATCACAATATATAATTGCAGAATAAAAAAAAAATATTGCAATATTAGATTTTTCTAATATTGTGCAGCCCTAATATAGTATCACATATTTATGTTTATATTCCAGAATATTCATCCCTTGATGCCTCATCATGAACATGAAAAAGCCCTAGAGTTACTAGCACCTCAGTGATAGTGGCTTCTTAGATTTTGTGTGTGTTTATTGCATGTACACATACCTTAAAGCACTGGATGTGAAAGTAAAGGCTGAGAGTCTCTATAATCATGGCCGCACCTTTGCCAAGTGGGTGACCACAACTTGAGCACAGTTTCTTCCCACTGACAGACCTACACACACACACACACACACACACACACACACACACACACACACACACACACACACACACACACACACACACAAACAAATGAAAATGAATCCACTGTAAATAATCAACAAAATATAATCCTTGTCAGACACTAGCAGACATAAACAAAAAAAAAAACAAAAAAAACAACAGCGGTTGAACAAAATGGGAGCTTTGGAATGCAGAGCAGAATGGGACATGCTACTGTATATAATGTATTGATACTGATGGTTTACCTAACAATTTTTGAGTTTCTTTCTTCTGTTGAACACAAAAGAAATAACTTTGACAAACGTTGGAAACTGGAAGCCACTGATTTCCATAGAATTAGTTTTTCCAGCTGGATGTCATTTGCTTTGTTACCATCAACTTAATTGTATACACATTTTGGATATGTGCATTAAAAAACAGTTCATGGAAATGCCACGATGAGCATAAACTTTGTAAATGCGCATAAAAAATGTATGCACAACTGAGTAGATTTTTATTTAATAAGGAAACATGTGCATAAACTCAACGGAATCACTTTTACCGAACAAATTACAGTATCCAGTATGGTCCAGTATTCTCTTGTTGTTTTATTGCTATTCTTTTATTGTACAGTGTCCTTGAGTTGGCAGAATGGCACTTTAAAATAAAATTTATTATTATTATTAATATTATTATTATTATTATTATTAACTGTTTCATTATTAGTGTTATTATATTATTATCTCCAGAATTGTGCTCTGCGTCTCATTCTTTTAAACGCCATCATGCATTTATTGCATCTTCTGAGGCGCAAGTAATTTATTAAATAAGGAAAAGATCCACACAGCTTCTCCTACAGCAGCAAATTCCATATTGATTTTTGATATTTGGCGTCAGTTAATTAGGAAATGACAATTTTGTTCTCTTTTGACTCATTTGATGGGCATCTTTTATGCGATATTGACATCTTTTATGCGATATTTCAGTTTTGTGCATACATTTAATTTGCATCTTTGGATAAAAAAATATAGCTTATGATTACCACTGCAACATTTTTCTAAACATCTTTTTTGTGTTTATCAGAAAAAAAGGACCAAAAAGATTTTGAACGAGTTCTAAAAGTTTTTATTTCAGGGTGAGCTATACCTTCAATAATGTCAAGCATATTGACTAAAATACTGACACAGAAAAATCACTTCATTTCAAATGTCATTTAGGAAACAGGCTGTTTGTGATTGTGTTGTTTTTGACCTTTTGTGGTGAGCTCATGTCAGAGAAACTGTACCTGTTTGGTGATGGAGGTGCTTGTGTGTCTGTGAATGAAGGTGATGTTGATGGATTTGGCCCAATGTTCTCTATAGAGTCGGACCTGAGGATGGATAGCCACATGCAGTGTTCAGCCCTCATTTCATGCACACACACACGCATGCTCAAAATCATTACACCTGGGCCATGAGGATGAGTTCAACAAAATCATAGAAAATCATACAAACTTTGAACCACGCAAAAACTAAATCAATGACAGAATAGATAGCGCACACAGACACGTGTTGGTAATGGTGGTTTACCAGGACTCTTCAAAGACATGAAGCATTTTATGCTGTAAAAAACACTTATTATATGGCCCTACACCACCGCTTACTCTAATCACAACCCTCCCAGGAATCCTGTGGTAAATTTTCAATGTCAAAAGACCCGGATAAGTATGAGTTTTAAGCATTTTGAATTACAAGGACATAAAGCATGTCCTTATAAACCACCTTAGGTCACACCCATGTCATTACACAAATGTTCTTGTAAACCACCAAGATTAGTACACACACACACACACACACAAACACACACACCTCTTGCGTCCACCAGGTTTTGGTGGTGTTGTATTCTTCTTCCATGTCTCATTCTGTTGGGGTATCTGTCTATTGCCCAGTGGCATATCTGTGAAATTACAACAGTGATGAAAACTTAAACAAACAAATAATTTTCATAACCCACAACAATACAAGCTCAGCTACACATGGAATAAAATGTTTATGTACTATATAAACAGACCCAAGACATTTAGCATAACATCTATTTAACAATCTATTGTTTTAATAATATTTATTCACTTTATTTTATGGAATTTTAAAGTGCTATACTATGCTCAATCCTGTTCCTGGCGATCAACCTTCCTGCAGATTTCAGCTCCAACCCTGATCAAACACACCTGATCCAATTAATTAGAACCTGAACAGCACTGGATAATTACAGGCAGGTGTGTTTGATTTGAGTTGCAACTGAAATCTGCAGGAAGGTAGATCTCCAGGAACAGGGTTGAGCGCACCTTTGCTATACAATATTAACATAACACAACAATTGTGTTAAAGGGGTGGTCCAGAATGTTATTTTTAAGGCTTGGTTGTGTTAATAAGATGCAAAGCAATGTGTGCTCATGTTTAACTTGAAGGAAATCGTGTTATTTTTTCATAAATCTCACTTTGATTATACACAGCTACTCAGCTAACATGAAAACGACTGTCATATTTCCTAGTTCCTCTAAAAGGCCCACCCTCAAGTGACTCTGATTGGTCATCATCATAATATGCTGTGATACGCCGATCGGCTTCACGTCACGCCCTGACAAGCACGCGCGTTTTGTGTAAACAGTCAGTCAGTCAGTCAACACGTGTCTGTAACGAGTGAAAATGGGATGCGGCTCCTTTAACTGTTTCTGTGCCTTTTAGTGTGTTTATGCGTGTATACGATGAAGTATTTGTAACACGAGAAGCGCATGTGCGCGGGAGAGATTTTTATTGTTCTTTTTCTCTCATGCTCGGATTAAGTTATTTTCTGTGGTGACAGAATAAAGCACAAGATGTGAGATGAGACCTTTGTGAGCCTGGATTGATTTGTTTTTGATGTTACACTCCAGTTGGGAAATCATTGCTGTATTTTTTTTAAATCAATGCGTTACAGGACGTCTTTCATGCATATGCGGAATATGCCTGTGTAAGTAACATGAATCGTTCACATATCTTTTGCGACTTTATTGTCCGAGTTGTAAAACGCATAGCATAGCTGCCTATAGAGAGAAATTCTGCCGTCTCACACAGAGAGACGCAGGTGCTGGCCAAGAGTGCGTGTATGTGTATGTGTGTGTGTGCGTTTACAGCCGTTTGATAAATATAGATTTGTAACGTTAGCTAAGTCGTTAGCGGTTACCATAATTTCCCGTTGTTTACATCTTTGCTACAACACACCGTTAAAGTTAGACACTGTACATGTCATGATCAATTTTAACAAATAAAAACACTTACAGGTCATGACTCAGAGTTCACAGCGTCTCCTTGCTCCATCTTTGAGGAGATTTTAACTGAATCCAGCACTGAACTGGGAGAGATTCTGGAAGCTGTGTTTTGTCAAATCATGCTTGCTATGTATTTTATAGTTCTCTGGAACATAATTAATATTGAACTGTAAGCACTTCTGTGTTTGGGTCGTGTCATTTGGAAGCCCAACAACAGAAACAGAACAGCTCTGTGGAAACAGCAGGATGGCATTTCTCTCTCTGCAGTAACGTTACAGCGCCTCTGGCCACGGCCTTTACCTGCGCAGTGTGGGATGCGCAATAACGAACTTTTGTGATCTCACAGGGGGCGGAAGTATTTTTTGTAGTCCCCAAAATTCGTTAATTGTAGGCGTTGCTAAGCTAACTCTGTACAAATCAAGGTCTCCCTTTGCATTAAACTTTGAATATTTTACATTCAGAGATGCTGTTTATGTTCACACAGCTACATTACACATCAACTGAAGTTTAAAATATAATATCGTAGTGGACCACCCCTTTAAAATACATTTTCAAACAAATATAAAATACAAATCAAATCCCTTTTATTGTCGCATCATCGGCAGCACGTGTGCTAGGATGAGTGAAAAGCTTAGGTGCTGGCTCCAGACAGTACAAAATACAAATAATGCAAACACAACGACATTACATACAAATATACTAGTATATAAAAGACCAAATATATTCAGTTCCAATAGTACCATTAGGTTGGAGAAATAAATAAAATGCAATGTACTGTAATACCACGATGTAACCACTAGATGCCTGTATAGCCCTATACAGATTTATATACATCACAAGAGCAGCTATAATGCTCTTATAGAAGGCAATTTCCAACCAACTCCAAGTTTAATCCTATTAAGTAACAAGATATGTACCAATCAGATATAAAATAATTGATATAATTCTAAGTTAAATTGATGATTAATTGTAAATAGTGACTCACCCTGACTAGACTGTAGTGTTGGCTGCTTATCTTGGCTCTGGTCTTCTTGTCCTCTCTGACCAACTGACCCACAGCTTTGGAGGGGAGAACTGATATGTGAAAGAATAGGGAAAACAACAACATGTTTAATTATATGTGTTAATATGTTCA